TAATTTTTTTCACAWGCAAAGTTTTCATTACCAAAGTTATTTGTACATAATAAGGGAAAGAAGAGCATCAAAGATTGTATTAGTTTTCTTTCTTTTTTTTTTTTTTTGAAGGATTTAAAAAATTTTTTTAGTCATACATGACAGCAGAATGTATTTTGACATATAATACATACATGGAATGTACATATATCAATCATATTGTCTGTTCTATTAAAGATTGTATTAGTTTTCTATTGCTGCTATAGCAAATTACTGTTTAGGGATTTTAAAAAATCCAAATTTATTATCTTACACTTGTGGAGTAAGAAGTCCAAAATGAGTCTCAGCAAACTAAAATCAAAATGTTGATAAGATTGTGTTCCTTTTAGAAGTTTTAGGGAAGGGTCTGCTTCTTTGAGGCTTCTTAAAGCTGTCTGCATTCTTTGTCTCATAGCTCTCATCCATCTCAAAGCTAGCAGTCTGATTAAATCTTTTTTTTACCTCACAACACTCTGACACTGACTGCTCTGCTTCCCTCTTCTACATGTAAGAGCCCTTTTGACTACACTCTTCCCTTCCACCAAAACAAAACAAAGAAAAATCACCACCCTAATCTGCAAATACAAAACTATTCTTAAACCCATCAGGATTTCAGGGCAACCAACCCAAAATCTAAGGATACAAACAATCGTTCCTTTAAGTCTTGCTTACCTGAGGGAGATGAAAAAAGACATTTGTAAAAATATGCCTTTAATGCATATTCTTAAAAAATAATAAGGTCTGAAGATCGGTGATCTAAACATCAATCTCAGATGAGAGAAACGGATCCTTCAATTTTTCCATTTTTAGATCTCAGTTTTCTATATTATTTCTAAAAAATCAGTCAAAGAATTAATCAAAGAAGTATTTAATTATGGTATTTTCTAGTAAATGGATAGACCTGAAGACTATCATGCTAAGTGAAATAAGCCAATCTCCAAAAACCAAAGGCCAAATGTTCTCTCTGATATATGGATGCTAACACACAATAATGGAGCCGGGGAGTGAAGAAGAGAAGTTCATTGGATTAGACAAAGGGGAATGAAGGGAAGGGAAGAGGTATGGAAATAGGAAAGACAGTAGAATGAATTGTATATAACTTTCCTATGTTCATTTTGAATACACCATCAGTGAAATTCCACATCTTGTTCAACCACAAAAATGGGATCCAGATTAGAATAAATTATGCTCTGTGTATGTATGTCAAAATACACTCTACTGTTATATATATCTATAAAGAACAAATAATTTTTAAAAATTTCCAAAATTTTTTCATACTAGAAAACACATGAGTTTCCAGTTTAAAAAAGATTAAGAGAATGAATAAAATAGCTGATATCACAGTGTGTAATAGTGAATTCTTACAACCCTGAGCACAAAAAAAAGAATAAAGTCCAATACTTCCAAACAACAGAAAAATTAGGAGACAGATGATTTAAACCATCTCATTAGCACCTCTGAAAACTTAGATGACAATGGAACAATGTCTTAATAGTTCTAAGTGAATATTATTAATAAGTTAGAATCCACCTAACCAAATCTTCAGGATGACCTGAAGACATTTTCAGATGTATATGTCCTTAAATAATTTCCTTACATACATCTTTTCTTATGAAGCTTTTGGAGAGACATTCACAATCATAGAGAATGAACAAAGAAAGAAAAAATGGGATTCAAGAAATGGAGGTCAATGGAGCACAAAATAATGATGATTTGAGTTCCCAATATGGGAGTTGTGAAACAGTCTTTATGAAAAAAAATTTCAGATTGGAATCAACAGAAGGCTTTAGGAGTGTTATGGTTTGGATGTGATGTGTCCCCCAAAATCTCATGTGTGAGACAATGCAAGAAGGTTTAGCAGTAAAATGATTGGGGTATGAGAGCCTTACCCCAATAGGTGAATTAATCTCCTGATAGTAATTAATCCCCTAAGGTTACTGAAGGCACATAGCGTGTGGCTGGAGGAGGTGGGTCACTGGGGGCATGGCTTTGTACCATTTTGTATCTGGCAAGTGGAGATATGATCTGATCATCATGTGAGCCACATCCCTTTGCCACACTCTTCCACCATGATGTTCTGCATCACCTTGAGCCCCGAGGAATAGAGTCAACTGTCTATGGACTGAGACCTCTGAAACCATGAGCTCTAAAATAAAATAAAATTCCTCCTCTAAAATTGTGCTTGTGAGGTCTTTTAGTCACAGAATGAATAACTGACTAAAACAAAGAGAGGTTCCAGTATGAGAATTGAGTACCAGGCCTAGTGAAAATAAAAGTTCTTATGGAACACAATAGAAGTTGATGATTAGTTCATAGAAAAATAATTTAAACATAAAATTATTAACTTTAGAGAAAACAAATTTTCTCAAGAAAATAAAGGTAAACACAGTGTACCACATGGCTCAGCTGTGAAGAAGATTTTTATATCATTAATATAATGAATACTGATATTCATATAATAAAAATGTATGAATACTAATATTCATACAATAAAAATTATAACAATTGATATTAAAATTGTAACATATTTGACATTTGATGTAAAGTGTATAAAGTGAGTTTGTATATGGTGATTATGGGATAAGAGTGTGAAAGATGGCAAAATCTTCTTTCTTAGTTGGAAGTCAATAGATAATGCCTAAAATTAAAATACCAATATCACTCTTTTTTGGTAGAATATGGATATGAACCAAATAAAAGTGTTTGATTTTATGAAGCAGAATATGGTGTTGGTGATGTGTGAGGAATTATTGGGGTTTAGTAATATTTGATTCTTTAAACTATATGTCTTTATAAGTTAAGGAAATAAAAGCTAAAATTTTAAATATATGTAAACTATCAGTTAATTGCAAAGATAATTTGGGGATTTCACTCTTTTATTTGTACTTCACTTGTTTCTAAACCCTGCATGATGATAATTTCCTATGAAATTGATCTTACTAAAGTATAATTTTAAAAAATAACATACTTCATCTGGGTCTCATGGCCCTATGTTAATGTTATTCTTTGGAGCAGTCCATGTTTAGAAATTAATTTGAAATTTTTATTTGTAAATAATGCAAGATGTTGTCATAATTCAACCAGTGGTTAATTTGGAAAAGAGTGAGAGAAGTTAATTGATATTAAGAACTTATTGTGGACCAGGCAATGTGCTAAATAATTTCACATCTGACTTGATAGAAAAATGGGGACTAAATTGAATAGAATTTTATATCTCATGTCAAGCACATAGAAAGCCTTCAAAAATATTTGAAACAATATGTTATCTCCCTTTTTATATCAGTTCCCAGAAGGTTTTAGCCCAGAAAGGAAAGTGTTGTTCAACATTATATTATATTAACCATGTCTTTTATTTTCTGTATATTGGCATTTTTCATATTATGGAACTTTCTGACCCTTGGGTTTTGCCCTTCTGGGGTTAACCAGTTTCTAGAAATAGTGTCATAGTTTAGATGTGATGTATCCCCCAAAAGCTTACATGAGACAATGCAAGAAGGTTTTGAGGAGAAATTATTGGGTTTTAGCCTTAATGAATTAATCCCTGATGGGATTAACTAAATGGGAACTAGAGGTAGGTGGGGTGTGGCTGGAAGAAGTGGTTAATTGGGGCGTGGCTATGAGGTATATATTTGGGGTTTTTTTTTGCTATTTATTTTATTTTACATTTTAATCAGATGGGGTATAATTTCTCATTTTTCTGAGTGTATGGGTTGCAGAATCACATTGGTCATGCAGTCACGTATATACATACAGCAATAATAATGTCTATTTTATTCTGGCTGGAGGAAGTGGTTCATTTGGGCGTGGCTATGAGGTATATATTTTGTAACTGGAGAGTAGAGTCTCTCTCTCTGCTTCCTGATCATCCTGTGAGCTGGTTTCCTCTGCCACATTCTTCTGCCATGAATGGAGCCAGTCTTCTATGGATTGAGACCTCTAAAACCATGAGCCCTCATATAAACTTTTCCTCCCCTACAATTGTTCTGGTTGGGTCCTTTAGTCACAGTGGCAAAAAACTGACTAAAACAAATAGTAAACAATTTCCTATGAACATATTTCTCAAATACAAACCAATCAATCCAAAGGCCACCCTACAACCACCTCTTATTGGCTCTCATATCCCAAGCACTATCTGCCCTAATCATCCTAGGACCAGGTACCAGACAATTAGATAGCACCAGTCCCTATACCTAGAGCCTGTTGAAATAATTCAAACTAGCTATCATAACTATCATAAGCCTGGTTACCTGACCTTGCCCATTGCTTCCTAAGGAAAATGATTCTTGCCCATAGTTTCCTTCTCTTCCTCTGTTTCCTAACTGGTCCCAGTGCTTCCCCTGTGGTATACCCCTCTCCTCCTGGGAGTTACATATAATAAACCATCCTTTCAATGGCATCTGTTGACTTTATTATGCATCAAAGTTTTTATTAATACCCAAAATTTTAAACACAGGAAATCTATCACAAAGCACTCAAGTGAATCAAACTGAAGGCTTTTGTATATTTTATCTAGTAGCAAAATGCTGCTAATAATGCTAAAAATGTGATAACTGTAGCTGAAAACTCTTAGAAAATTCTAATTTGATAATGAATCTGGTAAATAATCCTAAATGAAAAACCACTACTGAGAAAATATTGGCTGTATTTACGAGCATGGTATATATAAGTATATATGTATGATAATAATAATAGTGATAATAATAACATTACATCATGTTTGTAGAGTGTGTTTCTATTTACTGCACACTTTATTACAGTTCAATTAATCCTGAAGTGCCCAAAGGGATTTTATTATTTTCAATTATAAATACAGATGTTTAGAGTAGTTAAATGGCTTATATAATTCTACACAGCTTAAAAGGAACAAAAGCAGAAATTTTTGTTGTGAGGATGAAATATATAAGTCAAAATTATTTGACAAATTAAGAGGTATTTTTCAAAATCCTAATTTCTTTGGCTAAATATACACTCCATATTAACAGGACTAAAACCACGAAAAGGCTTTTGGGTTCACTGGAAACTGAAAGACCTCTCCACAACAACCATACATGGTAGCAAGAGAGCAACTGAAAAATCAATAAAGGAAAGAATTGCAAGTAGTCAAGAACACATAATATCTAGTAAGTAAAATTCTGGTAACTGCAGAATGGAAAAGGTAGCCAAAATCAAGCATATTAGATTATGTATCAGTCTAGTTTTTCTAATAAGTTATTTTTATGAAGGTCTTTAAATATTTGATGCATAGATTGTTTTTATAATAGTAATGTATCTCAGTCTTTTTTCCATTTACCTGTTATGATATTTTTATATTGTTTTTTAGGAACTTTGTGTCTTTATGTACATTATATATATTCTCACTTTTAGCTATATTACTAATTGGAAGATAATGTCTTTCTAATAGATTTGTGTATTTCTTGTAAAAAAATACTATGATTAAGACTTGTTTTTTATTTAGTCTGATGCTATCATAATTTTTAATAGAAATGATACTTAATTTATCTTTAATATAATTATTGATAGAGTTAGTTTTATTTCTATTATGTTCCTATTTGTTTTCAATTTTATCTAATCCATTCTTTGTTTTTCAATTCCCCTTTTCTTGCTTCTTTTGGTTTATTGAATATTTTTAGTATTCCATCTTAATTCCTCTATTGGCTATTTACCTTTACCACTTTGTATTTTTTAAGATGGTTTAATAATTACAAAATGCATCCTTAAATTATCAAAATGCTACCTGAAGTTAATATTATATTGCTTCACTTAAAATGTGGAAACTTGGAGCATTATGGTCTACATGTGCACTTTCCTTGTTTTTTGCGCTACTGTTGTCCTCTCTATAGTAGATGTAAACAAATAACAGCCTTCTATTAGTGTTATGAGTTTTGTTTCAAATAATTAATTTTTTCACTTTTTGAGGCCTATTGATGTATAATATACTTCATATATTCAAAGTATGGAACTTTAAGAGTTTTGACATACATATAAAGAAACTGAAAACCCATCACAACTCTTCGGATAGGAAACGTATCTATCACTCCCAAAGTTCCTCATGCTTTTAAAAAATTCCTTCCTCCCACCTAGTCTCTAGGCAATCTAATATGTTATTTTTGCCACTATAATTTTATAATGGCAAATATATATATATTATACTATATATATAATATAACAGAATCATAGAATGTTTGCTATATTGGGATGACATTTTTTAATCTGCATATTGTTCATTGTTCTAAGGTTCATTTGTGATGTTTCATGTCTTAATAGCTTATTTTTTCACAATGCTGATAAGAGTCCAGAGTAAGGATAGAATAGTTTATTAATTCATCTATTGATAGACCTTTGCATTATTTCTAGTATTTAACTATTACAAAATAAAGCTGCAGTGAACATACATATACAAACCTTGTAAGGACATGGAATTTTACTTCTCTTTGTCAGAAATCCGGTAGTGGAATGCTTCCATAGTATGCTAGGCAGATGTATCATATTTTAGGAAATTGTAAAACACTTATCCAAAGCTTTACATTCCTACCAGCGTACAAGTTATACTTACACTACTTCCTCACTAACAGATCTGTAAACAATCTATGATTGAGTCTTGTTTTTAATGATGTAAATTTTTATTTTTATACTATTTAGTTAGGTTTTATTTTAGTTTCTCTAACAACTAGTGATGATGAGCTTTTCAAGGCTGGGGCTGTAGCTCAGTGGTAGAGCACTTACCTAACCTGAGCATGGTCCTAGGCTCAATCACCCCACACTGAAAAGAAGAAAATATTCTTTTCATGTCCTTATTTATCATTGCATGTTCTCTTTTATGAAGAAGTGTCTGTTCAATTTTTTGGCCATTTTTATTTGCATTGTTTATCTTATTATTGAGTTATAAGAGTTATTTTTATATTCTAGATAAAAATCTCTCCAAACCTGCAGCTTTCTTCATTTTATAACAGGAATTTTTGAATGTCAAGGTTCGTTATTTGGCAAAATCAAATTTATCATTTTTTTCTGATATACTTTGAACTCTATTTAAGAATTTTGTTCTGAAACCAGTTTCAGCTCAGATTATCTTCCATATTTTCTTTGAAAAATATTATAGTCTATGGTTTTATAATTTATGCATGCAGCTGTTAACTTTAGATCTTCAGTTCATTTTTAGTAATTTTTGTTTATATGAAGTAAGCATCAAAGATAATTTATTTACATATTGTTTTAGCACCATTGGTTGAAAATATTACCCTTTCCCCTTTTAATTGTGTTGGGACATTAGTTAAAACAGCAATTGACCATATATATATCTAAATCTATACTCTATTCTGTGCTAATGATGCCAATACCAAACTATCTTGATAACTGTAGCTCTATAATTTATCTTGAAGTCAAGCAGTGTACCCCAACTTTACTTTGTTTTTACAAAATCATTCTGGATATTATTATTCATTTAATTTTCATAAAAATTTTTTCATCTTTTTGTCAGTTTCTAAAATATATACTATGGAATTTTGATTGCAAATACATTGAATCTATAGATCAATTTGGGGAGACTTGATATCTTAACAAATTTATTTTCTATCCCATGAACATAGAATATATCTACATTTATTTAGAATTTCTTTAATTTCTCTCAGCAGTTTTTCTAGTTTTTACTCTAACAACACACCTTTGTCAATAATATTAAACATTATATTTTTAAATTTTTAATTTCAGATTTTCACTGCTAGCATATAGAAATTATCATTTTTATATTAATCTTATATCCTATAATTTTACTAAACTTGATTATTAGTTCTAATAGTCATTTCATGTTTCTTAGCATTTCCTGCAAGATATAGGCAAGTATGCTCTCTGAGTATAAAGATCATTTTACCTCCTCGTTTCTTATCTCTGTTTTCTTTCCTGTCTCTGTTCTTTAGTAGCCGTATAACACTAAGAATCTTTTTAAATTTTTAAAAATTGACACATAATACTTATACATATATATAGTATATATGCTTTATGTCTATTTTTCTTGCCAATGTCTAGAACTTCCAAAAAAAATGCTGACTTAAAAATGGTATCCCTATGTAATTCTTGATTTTACAGGGAAAATGTTACATCATTTATCTTTAAGTTTGTTTTAGGCTATATAGGTTTCTCTAGATGACCTTCATAAGATTGTGGTAGTTCTATTCCTACTTTGCTATATTTTTTAAAAATCATGAATAGATTAGGATTTTGATCAATCCTTTTTTATCATATATTATGATGAACATACGTTTTTATTATGTTGTCTTTTAACATAATGAATTATGTTGATTTTTTAATGTTTAGCCTAACATTGCAATCCCATTTGTCAAGATATATTAACATGATGTATTTTAATAGTTTTAATATATTATTTATATTCAATTTGCTAAAATTTAATTTTCTTTTCCTGTAATATTCTGTTTCATTTAGTAATTTGTGTAATGTCCCCAAACTTCTCATTTCAAAAAGAGTTAGTGTAAAATTGGTGTTATTTCCTCTTTACATATTTGTAGAATTTACCAGTGAAGCTTCTGGGCCTGGAATTTTCTTTGTGGGAAGGTTTATTACTACAACATCAATTTTTACAATAGATATAAAGTACTCAGACTATTGATTCCTTCTTGAGCAAACTTTGTAATTTTGGGTGAATATTTTATTCCTTTAAATATGTTTGATTTTTTTCTGAGAAGTAGTAACTCAGAAACCTAAAAATATTTGTAATCCATTTGAGACTTTCTTTAAGCTTTATTAGATGAGCTAGAAGTTATTCATCTATGCCTAATTTGCTTCCCCTACTAAGGATATCCTTAAGTACTTCAAATTCTATGTATAGGTTTGCCACTCTGGCTTCTGGAGCAACAGATTTCTGTGAACCCAAAGTATTGTTTTGCCACTCTGTCATGTGCTGTCTATCAGCTTTAGACAAATGTTTAAGGATAATCTTCTTCTGGTGTCCAGAATATCTTTCTCCTCTATAGAATGTTAACCTGTGACCTTAACTTTCCCTGACCTTTCTGAATGTTAAACTTTATTTTCTTAACTCTGTGAGATCATTGGGTTCTATCTGAATTTCCACCCCTTGTGCTATACATTGAAAAGTCATTTTAGATACATTGAATCAATTTGGGGACACTTGATATCAAATTTATTTTCCATCCCGTGAGCTTAGAATATATCTACATTTATCTACAATTTCTTTAATTTCTCACATCAATGTTTTCAAGTTTTTACTCTAACAACACACCTTTGTCAAATAATAATATTAAACAACTATAACAACTGAAGGTTCCCTTACTTGTTTCTCTTTTCTTTAGAGTCGCTGTCTTGTACTGTCTGTTGTCTAACACATGGTAACCACTGTATCATATTTTGTCCAATTTTTTCAGTTAAGATAAAACAGAAAATTCAGTCCTGTTACTCTGTCATAGCTAGATGTGGAAGTGACGATATGTGTTCTTAAAAAAAAAGAAGAGAAATTTTTTTCAATAATCTACATTCATTCACATATTTATCATTCCTGGCTTTCTATTCCTAACCATAAMTCTGAGTTTCCATCTAGTGTCATTTTTCTTAAACCTGGATAGATTGCCTTTTGACAGTTCTTATAGTTCAGGTCTGCTAGAAATGAATATTCTCAAGTCTATTTATCTAAAAATATCTACATTTTCCCTTGTTTTTGAAGGTTATTTCACTGGATGTAGAACTCTAGATTTCCTTTTTATTTTATTTTCTTTGTTTAATTTCCAGTAAATTATTGGTCCATTATCTTCTGTATTATTTCTAATGAGAAGTCAAGACATTATTTGTATCATTGTTTCCACTATGCTTGGGGTCAGCAAACTTTACATGTAAAAAGTCAGATTGGTTTCTGTCACAGAATATTATTTTCAACTCTCAAAAAATATTAAAACTATTCTTAGCTTGCAAACTACATGAAAAATAAAGACTGGATTGACCTGGAAGCTATAATTTGCTGATCCCCTATTCTATGTAATACATCTTTTTATCCCTGTCATTACTATTAAGATTTTTTTCTTTATCTTGGTCTTATTTGGAGTTTATTGGTTTTCTTAAATCTGTGATTTGATGGTTTTCATCAGTCGTGAAAAAAATCTCC